CAGGCCCACCATTCTCCACTCCCCAACTCATTTTCCTCCACCACTACCTATTCTCCACCAAGACGAGGACTGATTGTCCATCTCATCTTCTCGCTCACTCACCGCATCAACTACGTCGGTCCAAGGTGCTTTTGCGGCAATTTGACCACAAGTGAGTCATCACCATTACACCATGTGTAGAGTGAACTAGGTTGCCCTCGAGACAGGGGATGCGGAGGATGTGCGCATATATGTGGAGCGTAAAGACGGGATGGAGAGAGTGTGAAGCAGCCATTGGTGTGTGATGGCAATAAGGTGGTGGTATACGGGCGTGTGTGGTGTAGCGGTTATCATGGCTGCCTTCCAAGCAGTCGATCCGGGTTCGACTCCCGGCACACGCAACTCCACTTTTCCTCCACCCACCACGCCTTCATTCGCTCTCCATCACACACCTCCCTCCATCATCCAAATCCGCTTTATGCTGATGCGGAAGGTGACGTCTTCACTCAGTGGTATTTGCGCATTGGTAAATTGTCTACTGGTGGCGGCCAGCCATCGCCTCACCCTACCCACTCTCTTCTTCTCCTTCTCGCATGTTGCCTATCTCACTGCTTTCCTCTTGGTGCTTCACTCATGCACGCCGATGGTGCTGCTTTGGCACCGATCCCATTGCCGCCCTTGCCGAACAGAATACTGGCATAGCTAATGCATCGCTGTCATCTTCCTCCACACAACACCTCAAAACAAACCTCCACTCCCACTTTGAATGCCGATTATCACAAGCTGTGACCTTTAAATCCTAGCACCACCATCATCACACCACAACTCATGTATCTATGCGTACACACGTTTGAATGTCTTTTCTTTGGCGCCTTCCTTCCTTCCCTCCTTCCTTCCTTCCTTCCTTTCCACCGTCAAACACCCTTGCTCCACTAACCAATGCCCTCCCTTATGCCCCTTCTCTCCTCATCAGTCAAACTGAGAACACAGATAGCTCACTTTGTAAACGACGACTCGCTTTTACGACCCAAACAAGCAAGTTTAGCCGCATCACTACCCACTCGCCGATAATGCATTGATGGCTAGCTGGGGAGGTTAATCGAGGGAGCCAAGAGAACATCACACAATAGAGGGGAGGCAGGCGACGTGGGTCTTCGTTTGCTCTGTTTGTTGGACTGCGAGTGTCGATTGGAATCACCTGAGTGGCCATTTGACCTCTTTCTTGCCTTTCACCAGAGCATGATGCGGCGTCTTCACTACTACCACTACCTACTTCCCACAAGTTAGCTGTAATACATATTGGCTGCTTGAGTGGTCCTTTGCAGAGGGGAGGCGAGAAGTAGATATGAAGCCAGTGCAGGAGGAGTGTGAAGAGCCTTCGCGTGACTGGTGTGGATGCCTCTCCACTTGTACTGAGTTCCCTTTTCAGTCTGGATTCCTTTCGGAGAGGTCAAATAATGCCTCTCCCTTGCCCTTATGAGGAGTGCGGTGGAGGACCTGGCAAGCAGAATGGGCGATATTGCACCAACACTGCGCCCACCTCATTTCGCTTTCTTCTCTCCCCTCTTCCTATCAAGCGCATAATATCACCTATGTACGTGTTATGAAGCGATTCATCTTCGCTTCCTCAAGCACATTCGATCAACCTTCGTATTTGGTTCACAAATGATAGTTGCGCGAACCCTTTCGTAAGCCAACGCAAAGCAAATGCCTCATCATTGCGTTCCCATGCGCATGTTTTTATTCCTGTTCATGCCTTTAGCGCATCCCTCAGTCTTTCCAATTTCCCTCACAACGCCTTCCACCTCTCATTTGCCAAATTTATTCTGCATTAAGGATTGGTTGCTGTCTCAGCACTTTCATCTACAAAACCCGCCTCCCTCTTGCCACACACTTCTGTGCACCAAGTTGTGTCCACCTCATTGACCACATTGCTGTAGCCTCCCACTTGCTTGACATTACGTTTTCTTTAAGGTCATTATCGTCTCCTTACATTCTTCGCACTCATGCAGTAACATATCTGTTTACATCCTCAACACATTTCTCTGTACGATGATCCCAAAGTCACAGTGCTACGCAGTATATGCTCCAGCATCTTGTGCTCGCGCTTCATTGCAAATGGAGCAACTTACTTACCCATATTGGCGGTGATTGTGGGTACGCTCTCGGTCTTGACAATATGTATCTCAAACGGGAGACGAGAAATACTGGCTTCGTAGCTAGTGTCCAAATCACTTGATTTTTATGCCGACAAGCACTGAAAACCAGTCTGGACTAAAGAACGAGTGTTTTGAATTGCTTTCTTCGCATTTTCACCACACAATTTTGTCGCAACACCAACAACAACAGTAATAATTATCATGATGACAACAACAATAATAATCGTTACTAATTTGGACTGCCTTAAAAGAGTAGTATTGGCACTTGATGGAGGGTGGATTCAGCGGCATGTCATCAGCGAAGTAGTTGGAAGATTAGGAACCGACGCTGAAATGTAAGATTACAGAAACACTGACGAATGCCATCAAAAAGCATTCGGAGAAGTCATCTCCTGCCACACCATTTGCCCAACGCGGCACACATACCAACCCCTTTCCCTTCCCTCGAATGCTCTTCTGCTGATGAAGTTTCAACCCGTTTATGACCTTTTCGTGCATTCGACCAAATCTGTTCGTATTTACCCGACTGTCAGCCTTCATCATGCCCTAGTGACATAACCACCTCCTGCTGCTCCTCAAGTCAATTGTTGTCTCAACATTGTACAGAATGATGGCTCACTCCTCAACCTAACAGGATCCGACAATCCAAAGTGGACACCCGTAGTGCAATAGTCTTGCAAACTAAAAGGAAAACGCGACAATGACTTCAACTCCCAGGAGTACCTCACTCAACTAGAATAAGGCATTCCTTCATCTCTTGCATGTGCACGGCGTCTAACATTCAGCATTTACCGACATACTGCACATTCACCCCCCTCGTCTCTTCCATCGCCATCCTCCTCCCTCCCCTTCACTGTGGTTGTGCTGCACCATCTCCTCCCCTCCGCCTCTTCCTCCTCCTCCATCTCCTCCTTCATTTTGACTTAACATCATCATAATGCTGCTAAGACAGCACAATCTAACCCCACCAAACTCCACCCCACTCCACCCTGCACTACCCTACACCACCCCATCCCGAGTTCAACAAAGGAAGGAACAAAGCCCTCATTTGTTTAATATTAACAAGACTCTATTCAACTTCTCCAACGCAAACCTCAGCAAAGAAGCACTTACCAATTCTCCCATTGCCTCTTCCTTCGCCGTAGTGCCACACCCACCCACGCAGTGCACCCATTCCTGCGAAAAAATCCTCCGAGCTCAAAACCATTGCGTCTTCCTGCCTCCCAGGTCGGCAAACAAACAACCTACACTTCCGTCTTCATTGCTTCGTTCACTACTTGTAGCACCACAACCCTCGACGACACTTGCAGCAGCACAGCAGCACATTGGTCAGCATCGACTGCAGTACTAAGTAGATGCAAGTGCTCCATGCCTTCTCCTCAGTTGTCTCAACAAATGAAATCGCATTCGTCACACTCCCTCCTTTTACAGCAATTACCTACCTACAAACAGCACGCAAATACAACCTCAATTAGTACTCTTCCAAGCGTCTTGTATCACTACAACAGCACAATCTTGTCCAATGCTCCCTCGTGAATGGTGTGGCAAGCAAAATTTACGCCCGTTTACAACTCGAATCGCATACATGCGTGCACGTTACCGCAGAGAAATGGATTTTGTGCATTGCAAGAAAGCAATCCATAAAATTTACGTCGAAGGCAAGGATGTCATGAACAAACTAATAATAGTAAAATCGCATACACATACATACAGTTGTAAAATTTCCAAATCCTAGTTCTACGGAACGAATAAATTAGATCAAATGCGAAAGGTTCTCGCATCACGTCCTTGTACGAATCTCTTAGTTCCGGTACAGTCCACCACTATTTACGTCATTGTAGCTAGTTCTGATCATATCCTACTCTAATTTACTCCTTGCACGCGAATACTGAACTCCCGCGTGAAAATGATCACATATTCTCACATTATTAAACGCGCCGGAATTAGCAAAACTTGCGAGACCACCAGAATCCATTCCATCGAATTCGAGTCTACCTCACATACCACTTCATCAACTTCAACGTCTGCAGTGCCCGTAACAAGGAGGAAAGACACGTAATACGTGCACTTCAAACCACATTTAACAAAGTTGACTCCAGTTATAGAATCCCTCCCTTAGTAGAACAACGGGTTATGCGAAACATTGCTGAACCAACCAACGTATTGAGCAGCATGAAGGATGAACGAAATTAAATGATAGGTCGTGGAGAGCCAGCGACTCTACCAGCAATTCTACTTGATTCCTTCCGCCCCATTTGGCATAAAGCATACTACGGTACTGTGATAACAGGCCATCCACATAATGAAGAGCTCACCAAGAAAAATCAGCAAATATAACAAAGAATTTGCCAGACCTTCACATTTTTTACTTGCAAGTAGTTTTCCATTAGTAAAATCCCTCCTACTAAGACAACCACCCACCGCATACACCAATCTACTAATAAAGGTCTGAAGCTTCGCAAAGTAAAACAAAAAACTCTACAAAGGCGAAGTGGGAGAGCATAGACATGAAGCTGAACAATACTTCGGACCTTCTACGAAGAGCTCCGGTCGACCGATTTATCGACACTTAAGTCAGTCCATTTGGGAAAAGACTAGTGTCTTTGAATTAAGACAAGGTCCCTGACATAAAGGAGGAGCATTGGATGGGTGAATGTGTTAGATGCTCCGACAACTCTACGCAGTTACATAAAATTGATTATCGTCCAACGGACTTCGCATGGACCCGAGTATGAGAGGTATGTTTGGCGAAAAGAAGGGAGTGTGGCGCTCCTATCATGGCCACGAGGCTAGTTTGCCCACCGAGACAACAAATTCACCCACGAGACCATAACTGGGACGGACGCATAAGTAGTGTTAAATCTCGACCCTCCTTTTCAATTTTGCACATGTGCGTTCGCAGTGGTTAGGTGGATGCAGATTTGTGCGATGGATACAAGGCTTACCTATTACATTAAGTAGAGCACTTTGCAAACGACTTCAAGACTACGCCAAAGAGGACTGCGGCTCGCGACTATTCGGATAAGAATTTATACCCTCACTTCCTTTTCCTTCCGTCAAAAACAAGCACGATAAAATTGTGCATTCTAGGACACCTTTACTGGCACAAAGGCAACAGTGAAACGATGCGGCATTAATGGGTCAGTGTCGCGTAGTGATGGTCCGTATCAGAGGAGTCACCCGCTGGTACTGTACAAGGCTTGTTTGTGTACTCGTCTACAGTTCTATAAACTGAACTGTAGAACTGCGAAGAACAGTCCAAGTAAAACCCGAATTCGAGTTGATCGTACAACTACCACCAAAGCGAAATTTTTCCTCATCCACTCGCAGCAACGCACACTACAACATTGACTCCACCCTTTCCCCACCATTACCTTGACATACTGTAAGCGAAACTGCAGTATAAGAGAAAGAACAATAAAATGTCGCCTTTATGGCACCTTGTTCTTTACTTCTCCTTCATTCCTTTCATCTTATTTTATTTATTTGTTTTTATTTGTATTTTGACTTTATTGATCAAAGTGGGGTTTGTAGGCATGATCTGTCA